TCCAAGACAGTCATTTGGCTTCAGTTCTACCGCCTTCCCAGAAAGCTGAATTTATCAAAAATTCATGTTTTATAATCACAGAGACTGTGACAAGAGGAGATGGTCCCTCTGTACTGTTTACACAAGAGGACATTTTAAACAATGAACTTGATTGCTCAGGACACTAAAACACACTTATGCAACACACACACACACACATACACACACACGTACATGCCCAAGCACAAATGCAAGCACGCATAAACCTTCTCTATCTACTGCTTTATCCCAGGAGCTCCAAGAACTTGCCCAGCCCTTTTCTAGAAGAATTTGGTGCCACACATCTCTCAACTTTGCCCTGCATCTGCCCTTGACATTGGTAACCTGTGTCTGTTTCCAGCCCTGCCCCTGCCCTTAGCACTCTATCCTGGTGTTCCCAATGGAAGTCAAAGAGCTCAGTGGCAGAGTAGACTTAGGAGAGAAACCCTGCAGCCCCCTACACAAAAATGGCACCTTCCAACAGGCTAACCAGACACTGGGGTAACAGTGGCCTGTGGCCCATGAGGGAGAGAAAAAGCAACTGAAGATGAAGACAAGCCTCAGTGGCCAACTTGTAGCCAGTCACCGCTGGATTCAAATCCTAAAAGCCTCACCCACCAGCTAGCTGCGTTTAGGCAGACTCCTTGCCCTATCTGCGCTTTAGGTTCAGCACCTAAAGATAAGCTCTTGGCATCATAGCACAGGCTGTTGGGAATCACGCCATACTGCAGACCCTTCCTTGCAAGTCTCTCTTGCTTTCTTCCCTCAGAACTAGAAAAGTGGCTACAGGTTCTGTCCCTCAGCTGTACAAGTGTCACCAGGAGTCACGGTGGCCTGGCTGTTGAGCTAGCAAGAACCATCCCAGAAAGAAATCCTGAGATCTCTTGGGACACTAAACTCCCTCTGCCATTGCTGTGTCCTATGTTCCGGGATGCCTGTGAGTGCCTATGATGTTACCATGGTAACCAAGAGGCAGTCATACACCTGGGGGATGCTGGGTCCTGTGGGCTGTCCTGTGAGACTTGTGCTAGGAGACTCCAGGCTTTTGTTCTTCATGTTGTGTTTTTGAAAACAACTCCCCCTTGCTCTCATTTGGATAAATAGAAGGCCTTCCTCTCATGCCTTGGGGCTTGGGGAAGAAATGCTGGCTGATCTGAAGTATTTGGTTGCAACTTTGTACTGGAGAGGACCCTGGGCTCTGTCTATTGGACAATGGTGGGTCTCACTGACCTGCTAGAGGGTTAGATGCTGGCCTGAAAAAAGCTATGACCCAGTTTCCCTTTGCTAGGATTTGTCCCCAGGAGCTCCTTGTAGCCAAGAATAACTGGAAGTTCCTGTGAGCTCCCCAGAAGATTTGAACACAGAGCAGGGAGGCGAGCTCAACCCAGACTGTATGGGCAAGGGGGCGGCTGTCTCTACAGTACATCTCTTCACTCCTAGGAGAGTGTTCCATGGGCAGATTGGAGGGCTCAGGGGCTCCAGCTAACTAACAGGGGCTGGCAGACAGCACAGAGGCATTCCCAGGATTTCAAAGGGCCATGTTTCTAAGTTCTAACAGAGCATAAGATGTAGACTCAGGGTGAGCCTGGGATTCTTGTTCTAATAGTGGCTGCAAACCTAGGTACCAGCCAGATCCATTCTACCCTCCTTCCTAAGATAAACTGGGCTTTACTGGAATGTTCTGAAGTTAATGTGTGAGGTTAGGAGAAACAGCAGGCAAGAATTTAGTCTTCTGTGTGGGTTAGGATTAGATGTTAGAATGACAAGCAGGTACTTTTCCCACCGGAAAAATACTAGTATACACTTAAAGTAGTTTGAGGACCAGGAAGTCCAGTCAGGCTGGAGAGAAAAGCTCAGTGATCAGCTACTCATGTGTGCCATGGCTACATGAATGATCAGCTACTCATGTCTGCCGTGGGTACAGTAACAAAAGGAGGGCATGGCCCACTTCTCTCCCCTTTCTCTAACCTGGCCAAAATACAAGGCTAGGGTGAGGAGAGAGGAGCTTCCCCTGTAGGCTGAGCTCTCTGAGAGAGGGAAGTGGTGTGTGATCCCCTGGGCAAATCCTAAAACTTACATGTCCACAGCCTATATAGCCTTGGTTCTCCTGCTAGGCCTCAGTGCTCAGACATAGCACGGCCCAAGGATCTACCTCGAGGCCTCTAGATACCAAGCCAGTAGGCTTCCTCCCCCATCTGCTCTGCCTAGGTCCTGTCTGTCTCTTGCCCCCTCATCTGGCCGCCCTAGTACATCTCTGCCCTCACAGTCACAGCAGAGTGACCCTCCCACTTACCCCCCAGCTCCCTGTGTCACCTCCATGGCCCTCTAGCTCCTGGTGGGTGGAGCAGCACCTATGGGAGTGCAGATGAGCAAAGTCAAGGGCCAAGGTCCTAGTCTGGGCTCAGCGTCTTATACAGAACAGATAAGTCCTGGTCTAGGAGATCCAGAGGGCAGGGCCTAGACTTTGTTTACCCTAATGTTCCATTATGGATGGCCTCAAGAAGGAACTCCAGAAACTAGAGAGATGGCTCAGCCATTAAGAGCATTGTCTTCTCTTCCAGAGGTCCTGAATTGAATTCCCAGCAACCACATGATGGCTCACAACCACCTATAATGTGATCTGATGCCCTCTTCTGGCATGTAGGTACACATTCAGATAGAGTACTCATATACATAAAATAAATAAATCTTTTAAAAAATTCGTTTTAAAAAAAAGACTGGACTCCAAAGATTTGTTACATGGGTTAGAATGAAGAGGGGACAAGACACTTCCTCTATCTATCTATCTATCTATCTATCTATCTATCTATCTATCTATCCATCCTTCCTTCCTCTGTCTGTCTGTCTGTCTATCTATCTATCTATCTATCTATCTATCTATCTATCTATCTATCTATCTATTTATCTATCATCTTTCCCTTTCTCCTATCTCCTTCCTTCTGTCTCCTTTGTTCTCTCTCTTCTACTCCCCCGTCCTTTCCCTTTCTTTCCATCTCCCTCCTTAAACAGTGGTAAACACATGCAGCGTAGAGTTTGGCCTCATAGCTACTTGTGTGCATTGTGTGACTCTCAGCCTGTGGTCTCTGTCTCTGCTCTCCTCTGCCCCTGCCTCCCATATGATGCCCCCCAGCCTGGTCAGCGTAGATTCTCATACATTCTGCAGAGCCTGATGATCCGGTCAGTCCTGGCTCCATCCTGAATAGAGGAAGAAAGGTCCCCTCAGCCTCTCTTGCTATCAGTGATTCCTCAAAGAGGCACAGGCTAGCCTACAGGAAGCTAACTCTCCCTAACTCCAGTCCCAATGAAGCTGAGGGCAGAGCAGCCGCTCAGCAAAACTATTCCCAGACGCAACAGAGACTGCAGCTTGGTGGTACCGACCCGAAGCTCTCTCCTCCCAGTGTGGGCTCTGGGGTCTAATAATCCTGGATTCAGGTCTCACCTGGTGTAGGTGAGTGGCCTTATGTCTTTAAAAGCTTTGGTTTCTAGCTCACACTTAGGAGTGAAGAACTATCAGGCTTGAGTGAGGGTGGGCAGTGTGGGAATCAGTGAAATGCCAGCCCTTCGGCTCCAGTTCCCCACAGAACAACATCACCTGTCTAGTGGACAACCCCTCTGCCCTTCTAGACAGCCCCTCCAGGCTTCCTCCTCACCTCTGTCCTGACCACTAACTCCACTTACTCCCTCTGTGGCACAAGAATATCCTCTACTCCTGCGAGCACTGTTCTGCCCTTAGAGAACAGATGAGGCAAAAAGGGCAGAAAGGGGGCACAGGTTAGGGGACCAATGGCATTGATAGTGCTTGCTTGGATCATCACACATACACAACCATGGGCTGAACTATGATGGTTACATACGAGCACTGTCTGCAGGACAGAGGAGCAATAACACACACACATACATGCACACACATACCAACGAACTCTGATACTTCTCTCCAGGGACACCTCCCAACTCTTATGGTAATTGGCTAGGACACAGCATCACAGTAGTAGGCATTTATACCTACTTTAAGCGAAAGAAGTTACGTCTGACAAGCACCCAGAAATGGCTAGCATGTCAGATTCCAGCTCTATTCATATGAGAGTAATAAAAATATCAGTCCCCTCTGTTAAAAGTTATGCAGACAAACAATCCACAGCGTCATTATTGTTGATGGTTAAAAATACAGCTATGTTCCCACCCCACCCACTGCCAACCCATGTATTGCAGCTTTACCCTCCTCAGCATTTATCACGAGACACGACCGCATTCATAGTAAACAGCTCTCTCTCTCTTCTGTCTCTTTCTCTTTTTTCTTTTTCTCTCATGAGTTCTGGCTATAGAACCAGGACTCACACCTGTTGAACAGGCACTCTATCACTGTGCCATGCGGTAGCCCTGTTTGTTCTTCCTGGGAAGGAAAATGTGTAGAGGCTGGGCTATAATGAACAGGGTATCACCTGGAGACTGTGGCGACCCGCCCATTTCTGGCTTTATACGTTCTTGCTGTGCAGCCATGGGGCAGTTACTTCCCCTTGATAGGCCTCAGGCTTCTCGCCTTTGAAGTGGGAAAGTGTTTGTGTTGATATCCCTTGCCACGGTTCTGACCAAATGGTGAACCAATGGTCTTGGCAATCATCAGGGTTCGGTTACCTGGGTCTAACTGAGGTCAGGGTTCACCAGCCCCTGACTTCCTAGCAAAGTGGCTGGATTCAGGAAAGGCCTTGTGTCTGGGGCTCAGATGGAACCACGGTCATGAGCCCCTGAGTGCTTCTTTCCTAGGTACTGTGTTAAGATGAAGGCTACACATGGTGAGGCCTGACACCAGATTGGGGGTTGGGAGAGTCGGTGTATGTGTGTGACCTTGGAGTCCAGTCCCTTGTAGGGCCTCAGTATTCACTGTGTTTAAAGTGCCTCTCTGAGTCTGTAACACTGTGGTTGTGTACCTTATGACCAGGCCTGAGGACACCCCCACCTAACAGACAAATTCCATCTCTAAAAAAGGAGGTGTTAAGTATTTTCTAAAAGTTAAAAAGAAAAAAAAAAAAAACGGTATCAGTTTAGAGCAAACCTAATCCAGTTTTAAAGCACTTAGGAATCATCCCAGAATTCCCCGGTCATGTCTCCAGTCATGGGCATAGCCTGGGAGTCACCCAGATGCCTCCCTTGTGTGCCTGGAGCTCACCTTGCCCGCTCCTGCCTAGGGCTAGACTGTGATCCCCAGGCTCACAGGGGAAGAAGACAGGACCTGCCCAGCCCTGAGACCCAGCAGTCTGCACAGTCCCTTCTTGGGAGGAAAGAGAGACCCCTGCAGGTGGGCTGAGTCTCTCCTCTCTGCCTTGGGAGGGTCCTTGATCCCTGGTGTGGTGGGCAGGTGTCCCACCCTGCCCTCAGCTGACACCCTAGCCTGTAGACAGTCCAACAGTGATGGCACAGGCCTCCCGGGGCAGTTACAGGCTGCTGCAATGTGCTTCGCCCATGTGCGTAAGAAGAAAAAGCCAAATTCATCTCCTTTTTCTTTCTCCTGGAGAAAACACACAAACGAAACCCCAGCCACTTCCTGAAGACAGGAGGTCATGGTCACGGTCACAGGCATTCCTTGCTGGTCTGTGTTACCAGTGGCTCCCGCATGGGGCTGGGGCCCTAAGTGTCATCACTCTGTGGAGCTCAGCCGTGTCCTGTTTTTACAGTTCTGTTGCTCCCTCGGTGTCCCTCTGTCACTTGTCCCGTCTCACTGCTCTGGCTGTGCCTGTGCCTGGCCATCACTGCTTCTCTTTATCTAGCCCCCAACCCACGAGCCACATACACAAGAGTCCCGGGGCTCCAATTCTGTTCTGTTGTGCTCATCGCTCAAAGGCTTCTTCACTAACATCTGAATTTCTGGGTGACAGGTTGACATAAAAGTAATACATGATTTTTCCTGTCCTCCAGGGATGACACGACGTTAAGGCACAAGTGTCAAGAATCCCATTAGAGAAACACACTGCTGGGACTCCCCTAGGCACAAAGAGACATCGTGTCTGGAGTCATCTACCCTCAGCATGTACATACACGGCATATAAAAATTCTGTACATATTCCCTAACCACGCGAAGCACATACTTAGTATAAATAGACAGAAATGACGTCATAGAAAAAGCAGGTTTGTTCTGGGAACAGATGCAGCATTTGGATCGAGGCTTCTCTGGGGCGTCTGGTCAGCTTCCACCCAGCTTCCCCCAGCAGCCGGCCTCAGAGGGACTGCGGAAGGTCACCTGTGTGTCCCAGTGGGCTAGGTGGGTGGGGGGCCGCTGTAACGAAGCATGAGTGCGAAGGAGCGGGCGAAGTTGTTGGCCAGGGCACAGCTGCGTTCCTCTACGCCGGCCGGCAGCAAGAAGAACAGCAGCAGAAAGAGCAGGAGCAGCAGCTGCAGTGGCAGCGCCACTCGGCAAGCTCTCTGCAGAAGAGAGCAGGGACTCCTCCTCGGCTTCTGCTGCCGCAGACTCTGTGAACCAACACAAGACACACCGTGAGGGAAGAGGCTCAGGTGGAGTGGGGCAGGAGGACATGCTGGATAAACCATGTGACCACAATGCACCGTGAAGACGGGTGGGATGCTTGGTCCTGAGTGTCCACCTAGAATCACCATGGAAACACAGCTCTGAACCTGTCTATGAGGGAATTCTAGACTGGGTTGAGGTGCCAGACCCAACCTAACAGTGGGTGGCAGCGTCTCATGGGCTGCGATCTTGGGATGAAGAAAAAGGAGAAGTGATCTGAGTGCCAGAACCCATCTCTCTCTGCTTCAGGACGATAGACACAGAGTGACCAGGCACCATGACTTCCCCATGGTGGACAGTACCTCCGAATCCTTCCTTGAGCTGTTTGGTCAGGTTTTATGTCACAGCAGCAAGACAACAAAGACATGCAGTAAGCTTTGCCAGTCACAAAGGTCTCAGCAGTTTCCTTAAACCACTCAAGGATTTGAAAGAAAGAAGTAGAATAATAATAGAACAGCATCGGCCAGGGATGACAGAACCCTTGCCTGGTGGACCCGCAGCCCCCAACTTACAATGGTTTGACTTAGAAAAACATACTCTATGGAAACCCCACTTCAGGTTTCAAATTCTGATCTCTTCCTGGGCTACATCGGCCCTTGTGCTCCAATGCCCTGTGGATATGCTCAGCAGCAGGAGAGAGCAACTCCCGCTCCGCCAGCTTTACAGTCACAAAAGGTATGTGGGTAGCCATCTACCGGCCACTATGTGTCTGAGCTGGGACCCATATTAGACAGCTGAGGCCCAGGGTGCCTTGTGGTTATCTTTAGCCATGGTTTCCTGAGATCTACCATGTAGGGTGATGAAGAGAGCCTGGGCTTTGCAGTGTTGATGGAAGTTGGGCCTGTGTGTGACCTCAGGCTACTGGCTCTCCCATAGCCTTAGTTTTGTTTTGTTTTTTTTCCTCTGTAAAATGAGCAGAGGACAATGAGCCTCCCAGAGCAGTTGAAAACATTCAGAAGCTCACGGCCTAGGTGAGGTTTGAACGTAAGGCCTTGGGTGGCATGTGTGTGTGCGTGTGTCTCTGTGTGGGCATATGTCCACACGTGGATGTTTGTCCAAGTAGGAGGCAGACTCTCCAGAATCGACAGAGGGGCAGCTATAGGCATGCCCTGAAGTCCTGCAGGCCCTACATGTAAATGCAAACACAGCTGGACCTTCAAAGCCAGTTTAGAGGAAATGAGGGACGGGATGAGTGGAAGTAGGAGGCATGCTATGTCACATTCTACTCAGTCTTTTTCAAAATGTTCTTTGCATGGTAGGTGTGTATGCGGGATGTGTGTGTGTGCGGGTGGTTTGTATGTAAGGTAGGGGCATCTGCTGGCCCTTGTAGGATGTATCTCTCTCAGTTTCTTTTCCACCTTTCTGTTTTGTTTTGTCTCTCGCTAGATCTCTGGTTATAGCTTGAGCTTGTTATCAGGACCCCAGGATCTGCCTGCCCCTGCCCCTATCCCTAGGGTGGAGGTTCAGGTATCAGCTGTTTTCAGCTTTGATATGGATGTCAGGGATCTGAACTCGGATCCCAGAAGTAGCCTATTAATTTTTTTAAAAAGCCTATTAATTTTAACAAGGAGGGGTAGATATGAGGGGCTTGGATGGAGGAAAGGGGAGAAATGTCATCATATTACACTGTCAGAAGTTAAGGTAAAATAAAATAGGACTGTTTTAAGCAGTCAAATTTAAATATACGCTGCATTGTATTTTGTCAACTCTTGGGATCATCATTTCACTGGGGTAATTGGGGAAATAGAAAGAGAGAAGCCGGAACAGATTCAAGAGTCAGGGCAGCCTCTAGAGGAGATATGGTCACAGCTCCCATAGCTCAGGCCAGAGAAGTCCACCCCCAGTGTACTCACTGCCTGACTGACTAGGCAGTTACAAGCTCCCTGGCTGAGTTTCTGAGAAGTGGGGTGGGGTGGGGGCAGGGGAGGCTAAGAGATGGGAGGGGCTGGGATCAAATTGAAGCAATCCATTGGGATATCAGAAGTCAACCTCAAGTTTCAAAACCTGCCTATGGGTGGAAAGGAAGGTGGCATCAAGCATGGTTTGAGGTCAGTCTGGGTCAGAGACCGTGTGGCCGAGCAGAGCCCGGCCAGTCTATCAAGCTGGGGCCAGGAAAGAGGCAGACTTGAGCTGTTGCCTGCGCTCTGTGCGGGTGACTCAGACAGTTCACTACCATCGCCCTGCCCCAGCCCCCAAATGGCCTTGCTGTCCAGGGGACACGGGAGGAAGAGAGGCTGTGGAGAGTGTTTAAGAGCAGGCATGTGAGATTTATTTTTCAGCCTCAGCTGTGACAGCTATTCTTTAGTTATGGGAAGCCGACCAACGCCTTCTGAGGTTTGATATCACAGTATCCCTACAAACCCAGGCACCTGCTCAGGGGCAACTGTCATATAACTACTGGTGCTGTGGCCCAGGAGGCAGAGTGCTCACCCCGCATGCGTGAAGCCCTGGGTTTGACCCCCAGCACTGGGTAGACTGGGTATGGTAGTCCACACCTGTAACACCAGCACTCAGGACGTAGAGGCAAGTTCATCCTCACAGACATAAAGGAATTTGGGGCTAGCCTGGGCTATGGCAGACTCTGTGGGAAGAGAGGGAGGAAGAAGAGGAAGTGAAGGAGAAAACCCCACATAACACTATGGATGTGGATGGGCTGTGCCTTCCGTGGGGATGAGGGAGCAAGGATCATGACCCCACAGAAAGAGGGGCCAGGACACTCCACATCTGGCTGAGAGGAGGGAACAAAAAGGGACTGCCTCTGACATAATCTGATTGGCCTGCTCTTTGATCACTTCCCCCTGGGGGGGGGAGCAGCCTTACCAGGCCACAGTAGAGGACAATGCAGCCACTTTTGATGAGAACTGATAGACTAAGATCAGAAAGAAGGAGAGAAGGACCTCCCCTATCAGTGGACTTGGGGAGTGGCATGCATGCAGAAAGGGGAGGGAGGGTGGGATTGGCAGGGGAGGAGGGAGGGGCTTATGGGGGGATACAATAATGAATAAAGTGTAATTAATAAAAAATAAATAAAAGATTTAAAAAAAAAAAAAAAAAAAAAAAAAAAAAA